GTTGGGGGTTTATCTTATGTGAAGAAATTTTTGTAGGCAACTCCGCTGGGGAAAGGTTGCGTTGGGGTTGTCCCTATAGGGATAATGATGATGAGATAACTCTGTGGGGAATAAAATCTGCTAAGGAAGTGGACTCCCTTTAGGAAGAGATCTCCTAGGCTTTAGCTGGGAAAAAAGTTGTCAAGGGATTGAGACTCTGGCCAAGGATCGTCCCGTGCAAGGATATTTTATGGGCAACTCTGTTGGGGAAAGGTTTATTGCCAACTCCCTGGTGGGGATAATGATGGTGAGATAAATTTGTGGGGCTATTTCACATTCATTAAAGGGATGCTTACTGCTGTTGTGCACTGATGCCTTGTTGAGGTTGCTGCTTGGCAGGACACATGTTCCAAATAGCTTTAATTATGTTCATATGCATATGTTCATTCAATTTTAGTCATTGGACAAATTTTCATTCAAAACAGAGATAGACAATTTTGCACTTCAAAGTGTATTTATATTTTGCCCATGAATAGGCATTTTTGTACATAGAGACGAAAATCCTAGTAAGAGGAAATCGCCGAAAAGAAAACAAAATTGAGAATGAAAAACAAATAGCCATGTGAAATAATCACATTGCCTTTTAGCTCTACTATTGCCCCAACGTCTTTGAACATTCCTTGCATTTGATCGAAGTTGATTGGATTGATCCTGGACCATTTGAACTTGGACCTTGGTGATAGTATTGACCGTGTTGATTTCACGGGACATAGTCGTACGCTTTCAATCCTTAATTTTTGCCTGAACCGCCCTTTCGGGTTTTCGGTCCACCAGGATACCCTTTTTTGCCCAAGTCGCCCTTTTGGGTTTTCAACTTGTCGGGTGTACAATATTTTGTATATATCCCTAATTTTTGCCCAAACCTTTTGGTTTGTCGGGATGCCCCTTTCTGCTTAGGTGTGTCAACCTAACGGATCTCTTATGCATAGTATTTTTTAACTATGTCCGCGTTTATAGGATGTGGGAAATCTTCACCATCCATGGTGGCCAGTATCATGGCACCGCCAGAGAAAACACTTTTGACAACAAACGACCCTTCATAGGTGGGGGTCCATTTTCCTCTGGGGTCACCTTGTGGTGAAATGATGCGTTTTATCACCAGGTCGCCAACTTGATATACTTGAGGCTTGACCTTTTTGTTGAAAGCTTTGATCATCCGTTTTTGATACGTTTGACCGTGGCAGATAGCGGCTAATCGTTTTTCGTCGATCAAGTTCAGCTGATCCAATCTCGTTTGAATACATTTTTCTTTACTTAGGCCTGCCTCAATCATAATCCTCAGCAAGGGGATTTGGACTTCTACTAGCAAAACGACTTCCATGCCATAGACTAGAGAGAAGGGAGTTGCCTCAGTTGATGTTCTAGCTGAAGTACGGTAACCACGTAGAGCAAATGTTAGCATCTCATGCCAATCTTTATAGGTCACTACCATTTTCTGCACAATCTTCTTGATATTTTTGTTGGCTGCTTCGACTGCGCCATTCATTTTCGGTATATACGGAGAAGAATTGTGATGCTTGATCTTAAATTGAGTGCACAATTCCCTGATCATGGCATTGTTGAGGTTAGTTCCATTGTCGGTGATGATCCTTTCGGGGATACCATAACGACAAATAAGATTGTGTCTGATGAATCTGGCTACCACGTTCTTGATGACTGAGGCAAATGAGGCGGCTTCGACCCATTTGGTGAAATAGTCGATAACAACAAGAATGAAACGGTGTCCGTTGGAAGTTGTGGGCTTGATCTCTCCGATCATGTCAATACCCCACATTGAAAAAGGCTACAAAGAGGTCATGACATTCAGAGGGATTGGAGGTACATGGACCTTGTCAGCGTAGATTTGGCATTTGTGGCAAGTTTTTGAATGTTGATGGCAATCGGTCTCCATCGTTGACCAATAGTAGCCAGCTCTTAAGATTTTCTTGGCCATTGTATGCCCACTTGAGTGAGTACCGAAAAGGCCATCGTGCAAGTCTTCCATGATTTCCCCTGCCTCCCTCTTATCCACACATCAGAGTAGAGTTGAATCATGGTTGTGTTTGTACAATATCCCATTACTTAGGAAGAATTTGTCTGCAAATCTTTGTAAGAACTTTCTGTCATTGATAGATGCTCCCTCTGGATACTCTTGCGCTTCAAGGTATCTTATTACCTCATGGTACCACGGCTTTTCCGTATCGGTGTCAAGCTCATAGCAATGCGCAGGTTCTTCAAATATTTCGATTGTAATCATAGGGGCTTCGTTGTCCCATCTGACTTTGAACATTGAGGACATGGTTGCCAGAGCGTCAGCCAACTGGTTTTCTTCCCTAGGGAAATGTTTAAAAGTGATCTCTTCGAAGTGAGGAATTAGGGATAGCACAAGTTCCTTGTAAGGGATAAGATTAGGGTGTTTAGTGTCCCAATCTCCTTTTACTTGGCTGATCACCAAAGCGGAATCTCCAAACACGTCCAAATGCTTGATCCTTAAGTCAATAGCATCTCTTAGACCTAAGATGCATGCTTCATACTCGGCCATATTATTTGTACAATTGAAGCATAGTCTGGCGGTAAAAGGAGTGTGGCATCCTTCAGGAGAGATGATCACAACACCAATTCTGTTACCTAAGGCGTTGGAAGCCCCATCGAATACCATAGTCCATCGGGATCCTTGTTCAGGTCCGTCATACGGTCTAGGTTTTGCACAGTCAGTTACCAGCATAATATTCTCGTCAGGGAAGTTGAAGTTCATTAACTGATAATCATCCACAACTTGATGGGCTAAATGATCTGCTAGTACACTTCCTTTGATGGCTTTTTGATTTGTGTATTGAATGTCGTACTCAATCAAGATCATTTTCCATCTGGCTATTCATCCGGAAAGGGAAGGTTTTTCGAAGATGTACTTAATCGGATCTATCTTAGAAATCAACAAAGTGGTATGAGTCAACATGTATTGCCTTAGCCGGCGAGCAGCCCACGCTAAAGCACAACAAGTTTTCTCGAGCAGTGAATATCTGGTTTCACAGTCGGTAAACTTTTTGCTTAGGTAGTAAAATGCATGCTCTTTCCGGCCAGACTCGTCATGTTGGCCCAAAACACACCCCATAGAATTCTATAGTACTGTCAAGTACATGATCAACGATCTTCCTTCAACCGGAGGCATGAGAATAAGAGGTTCTTGTAGGTATTCCTTGATTTTGTCAAAGGCAATATGGCATTCATCGTTCCATTTGACTACCTGATCTTTCTTCAAGAGTTTGAAGAGTGGCTCACAGGTACACTACAAGAAAATTGGCAGATTGCGACAGGTATTTTTGTAGATTACGACGGTTAAAACCGTCGCAATTTGCTTTCCACGACGGTTGCTTTACCGTCGCAGAAGTGTGTGTCCCCAACCTATTTCGCGACGGTTACAAAAACTGTCGTTCATGTTTACGACGGGTTGATACCGTCGTGACTATCTTTTGAGTTTCTTTTAATTATTAATGGCGACGGTTCGATACTGTCGTGAATATCTTTTGAAATTGATTAAATTGTTTATGGCGACGGTTCGGTACTGTCGCCATGACTTTTGTTTATGTCTTGATTTTTTTTTATTTTTCTATTATATATATTTTTTATTTAAATTATTATCTATGTAAAAAATTTTAAATATAGTTTTTTTTTGTGTTCTTTTTTTCTTTAAATTATTTCTTCTTTAATATATTTATTTATAGTATTATTTTTTGTTTTATTTTCTATCACTTTGTAATATAGTAAAAATAATTTCAATAAAAAATATTTAACATCAATACAAAAATATTCTTATAAAAGAAGCCAAAAAGGGGTATAAAAGGTGTTGTATAAGAATAGAATCAGCTGGAGTATTGTTTTAAAGTAATATCGTACGATATTACCCGAATCTAGTTCGCAAACGATTAAGTTAAACAATTCCATACAACAAAGCGACAGTGGACACGATAAATACATGTCCAAATGAATAATATAATCCTGAAATAAAGCATTACATCATATTGTGTTCCCACTCAAACTCATGTCTCATCATCTCCCATACTGACTGAATAATGCCCGAAGTTCCTGCCCTGTTTGATTCAACAAAAATGGAATCCAGTCAAACTAAATCCAAAGGGACAAATACAAGTAATTTTGTGCTATCTAAATTTATCAGATGTTTGCATAAGTGACAGCAAAGTTTTCATAAATGGCATATTTTATTGAACATATATTTCAACGAAGGTTTTCACAAATGTTTAGACTTTGAATTGTATCATGTATAAATCAGAAAAGATGAAATCATGCAACTGATATAGCAAGAATGCTAACCTCCGATAATACCCGCTGCTTGTTAAGTAATTGGGTCCTAGCCTTGTTCAAAACAAAATTTGGTGACTTGAACATCCTCTGCATGTAAAAAATTTAGGGAGATCAGCAGATAATAAGTGAAATCTGGAGAAAGTCATGAACTAAATCACGAGATTATGTAGCACAACTACCAGGACAAAACTCACCTTTTCACCACCAGACATTCTGTGCTCACCATTGTTAAGCTTTTTCTTGGGTGTGAAACCAAAGACATCATGTAAGAATTCATTGTCCTAATATCATTGAGGAAGAGGGGCAGGAAAATCTCTCCTATTGTACCATTTCATAATTTATAATTATTATACATTTTGTCCATTACTTCTTTATACAACTCATCCCACATGGTATACTGTAAAACCTCACAAGCACTATATAAACCCCTATATCATACACAACTATAACTCACACTCTCCCCTTAAGCCATAGTAGCTAATAACTAGTATTTGCAACATAATACTAGCTATATTACTACAAGAGTTTTACTAAAATGGCTTCCAAAACTTATTCCTCTCTTGCAGTTTTCCTCACAATCAACATTCTCTTCTTTACCTTCTCTTTAACACCGTCGACAATAGCCCATGTGTATTTCTCCTCTTGCTTCAATTTTTCTTCCTTCAGAGCTTTCTTCTCCTGCATAAAGGGTTAAGACAGAGTCAACAATTTAAAGATAGATGACATGAATTATGGAAGGTTCAACTGGTACAAGTAAAGAAGATAAGAATTCTCAAAAGAATTCAGAGTATGCAATAAACTGACTGATTCTAGAAAGCCACTCTCCAATTACAACTGAGTTCAAAAACTAACACTCCCTATAATAAAGGACTAAGATAGGAAGACCCAATATCAATGAGATTTCACACCACAAAGCTCTTTCACCACTCTTTAACTTCCAAGCCAGTTTAGCGATGCAAGCCCAATGTCAATGAGATTTCTTTGCCCCAAACCTCCCTGATTCTTAGCACAAGTGATCTTCTTCCAGTGGATTGTATGAAGTTGTTTGGCACATTCATTGTATCCCCATATGAAAGATCTCTGCATTTTGTTGTATCTATTAGAGGCAGCTCATTGGGATCATTCTTCACATCATGGAGTAGGTATCAGTTCAAATTGGTTCTTTAGCATCCATCAATGCAACTTGTTCAATCAACTTTCAAGAGGGCAGAATAAATCTGAACACCGCCAATATCACTGTGGCATTTACCAACAACTTCAACACCTGCTACTTAACTACAATTGAAACTCAAGTAACTTATTAACTATTGATTATATATCTATATCCAATGGCAACCATAAATACGAAGAACACACATTGTGTGGATTGCAATGTAACAAATTGGTCTTCTTGCCTTTCCCAAATAAAATGGTCCAGCCTTGAAATTCTTCTCAGGCATTACCATTCTTGCAAATATTGGAACTGCATAACCACCAACCCAACCAATTGTGCATATTGAAGTTATTGCAGTAAATACCACATTCACCTTCAATATTGGTAGACCAAGAAGAATGCATAAAGTATGACCTAAACAATTGGTCATTCAACATAAAGTATGACCTAAACAATCATGCTTAAAAATAGAAGAAAACACAAAATCTAGGTTGATGAGAGAGTTCAAGAAGTAGTACTTGTTGGGTTCTCCAAGGGTTTGAACACACTGCCAATCGTCACTATCACCTTCATCTGCCCAGACCTGGAAGAAATTTGATTGCATTATAATGTCATCACAGTGTGTAAAACTAAGGAACAGAAATTAAATTAAAATGGCTGCACTAAAGGAACAGAAGTCTTTTCCAGTGTCTGGATTACCTTAATATTATTATCATAGCTACATGAAAATAAGATATCCTCTGTTGGGTGCCACCTCACCATTTTCACATCCTGAGTATGTCCTTGCAGCACTGAGACACACTCAAACTCATTGCCTGGCTGCACTTCCCATATCCAAACGGACTTATCTCTACTGCAAGTTGCAAGCAAAGTTCCAGATGCATTCCAAGATACACTCTTTACTTCGTTTTCATGTCCCTGTCCATAAAATTTACATATATCTCAAAGCAAGTTAATAAAACTGATCAAAAAAATAGCCAGCAATGATAAAAGAATATACACATCCAAATGGAAAGAAGAAACAGACAGACTAGATTCACGGCAGCATGGAAGTAGCATACCTCCAAAGTAGAGACACACTCAAAATCACCCCCAACATTTTCCCATATAGCAGTGGTGGCATCAAAACTTGCAGTAGCTAACAATTTCCCAGAAGGTGACCAAGCACAAGATCGAACAGTTCGAGTATGTGTTTCTTCCAAAACCGCCTGCATTTCGTTTTTGGACACCAATATCATCATTAAGAAATTGCCACCAAACTTGAAAGTATAGAACTCCAGTCATAAACTATACTCATATTTGAAACAGAAAATGCTGCGTTCATTTATTATTCTCTTTTAATTACAATTAGTTAGAGGGACTAGTTTCACTAGCAGAACTAGTAGAAATTCTACGAACAACATTGGAAGAACAAGGGTTGGCTTTCAGAATTTCTAAAGCTAAGCAATATGAAAATATTCGAGTAGATCTTAGGGCCAGAGAAGAACAAAATGTTGCATATTTTGAGGCTTTGAAAATTGACAAGGTTTTTCACTATGTATACCACTAATATCAATTCCGCTATATCCAAATAGTAAACTAACAATTTTACCTAAATGCAGGAAAATGAAAAGCTCAGAAGCTTACCCTCAAAAGAGAGAGTGCAAAAGTCAGTGGAAACTCATAACACCAGAAGGAATGAAAAGTTAAAGATCAATTCTACCAATGAAAGTAAATTTCATAATCATAACGTAACATGAAAGGAACCCACTGGTGAAAATAAAGTGACTCAAGTGGCACATGTAATAAGGTTAAGTCATGTACATCAAAGAAATATGAGAGAAGATGGACTGAGATTATTCAGAGTACTTTGGGTATATCCAAATGCATCACGGACCATGTTTTCCATTCCATTTTGGCTTGGAAGGTATCTTCAAGGACATGTGCTCTTTCAACTACTTGACGCTCATTTATATTTGACCATTCATCATGCTAGTTCTGATATGACAAGATGAATACATAATAAGTACTTACTTCAATAGTTCCTCGACAACAAAAACTACTCCAATGAAATTTATACGATTCTTCTTTTAAAGAAAAAAGGGAATAAATTTTGTAAGTATGATTAGAAAATTCTAGGATAGCCGGTATTTGTATTGATTTGGATGTGCTCGGGTTCCACACACACATATTTATATGTGACCTAGGCACATGAATACTATTGTTTTTATTATTAAAAAATCCTATGTTTTCCATATAATAGTAGAAGGAGTTTTGTTAAGAACCACTTATTATAATAAAAAATTACTTACTCTCTTAAAATCAATTTTATACTAATTAATATCATACAAACACTGTCAAAATATTACAAACTAAATTTTCCTTGTTTTTAGACATTTTAGAGTCATGCACACTACTGCAAAAATATTAACTTACCTCTTAAAAAATAATAAAATTACTACCAATGTGAACATGGTGAGAGAACTTACTTCAAAATGGAATTAGTATTTAACTACCCAGTGGTTCAAACTGGTGAAGTTAGTGAGGCACTAGTGACTTAACCAAGATTTTTCTGAAAAGAAGAGAGTATAAGTCAAATGCAGTCAAATATGGCATCTTGTTGAACAATTGATGTCATAGTGAATTAAGGTTATATACTTATGCATTAGAAAACTAAAAAGATAAGGAAAGAATCACCACCTAGCAAATAGAGTTATGAATCCAACAACGCATTTCTACAATCAATTGATGTTCATCGTGAATTGAGATTATATACTTATGCATCAATAAACTACAAAGATAAGGAACGATTCACCACCTAGAAAATAGAGTTATGAATCAAACAAGGAAATAAAAGTATTACCTTAAAAATGATTGATTGTAGAGTTTTGAATTATCGAGTAGCAGAATTGAGCAGTAGAACAACCGATTGTAGAACTCTATGTAGATTACAGAGCAGCAAAATAGAACACCATAAAACCTAATTACAGAATTGCAGGTTTCAGATTTAGATTGAGCAAAGTGAAGATGATGGTTCAAATGATTGGTAGGGTAACATACAAAATTCATCAATAATTCCTATTCAAAAGTGATTCTACTCAACAATCCAAAAAAAAAATTGAAACATACGCTATAAAAATAAACGACGGTGTTGAAATTTAGAAATAGACCTTGCATGAGAAGAGGCTATTGGAGAGGTTCTGTTCCCAGATTCAAACGGTTTTATCGCCGCTGCAAGAAGCGAAAACGAGCGGAACACCGGCATGACCAGTGGCCGGATTCCAATCCAAGCTCCAAACCCTATCGGTGTGACCTTCGAGTTTCTGAACCTCTTTCAACTCTAACCTCTCCATTGCAAAGAACGATTTGACTCAGCGTACACGAGTTACAAACACAGACTCGCTCGTTTCTTCTCCACTTCAGTTCAATTTGTTGGCTGTTTCCTGTTTTCTCGCGAAAAGGGACAGGGAATTCAGAGAATCTTCCACACGAACGTGACAAGGGGTTTTCTTTTTTCAAAATAAAAGTTGGAGACTAATCGAGGAAAAGGAAAAACACGGTGGGCGAGTGGCTTGTGCAAAACAAAATAATTCTTTTTTTTTCTTTTTCTTTTTTACTTTGCAAATTGAATTTTGGGTGCGACGGTTGTTTTACCGTCGTGAAATGAATTTTAGGACGGATAATTTTACCGTCGTGAAAGGTTTAAGGGTGCGACGGGTGCTTTACCGTCGTGATATGCCTTTTAGGACGGTTAATTTTACCGTCGTGACTAGTTGTTGGTGAAAAATCAATGTTAAAAGTGTTAAATGGGGGCCGACGGTTGTTTTACCGTCGTAATAATAATATTATGATGGTTAAATATACCGTCGCAAAATAAATATTAGGGACGGTTGGTGTCAACTGTCGTAAACACTGTCTCTATATGTCAATTACGACAGTTATCACATAACTGTCGCAATTTTTGTGTCGTTAAACACTAATTTTCTTGTAGTGGTAGTAGTTAAGTGTGATATGAAACGGGCAATGTAATTGAGACTGTGATACGGTGGCCAGAACCAGGACGTGGTTTCCCTATTTCGTTAAGGAAATTTTGCTGGTTTGCGTTTTGCGTTTTTGTTCGCAAAATGTCGCGGTAAGCAAGAGTCGCCACCGTCTTTTATTTTATCCAACAAGGAAAAGAAAAAAGCACAAAAAAATTCCTTTTTCGAGATATTTCTGAGTACGAGGGGTAGATTTATAGAAAGGGAAGGTATTAGCACCCTTTCTATCCGTAGTTATCTACGGGCTCTTAGGTACTTGCTCATCATTTTCAAAATTGTTTTCTTTGTGTTTGTGCACTTTGAAAAGTTTTTGTTTTGACTTCGATTTAACTCTTGCTTCTGTCTTCAAGAGTGTAATGAAGTGTTTTTGAAAACTTTGTTTATAAAGGAGTGTAAGTGTGAAAAAGTTTTGTTTTTTGGATGAGCAAGTATCTAAGAGCTATCTACCTACTCGAAAAAGGAATCATTCTATGCTAATTTCCTTTAGACAATGATATCCCACTATTAATGAGTAGGTAGCACCATTGTTGGAGTTTTAGGGTCAATTCGAAAGAGGGACATACGGTCACCAAAGCAATGTTAGGACGCCTTAGCGGTAACCCTAATGTCTTAGATTATTTGTTTGAGGCAACAATATCCGAGGCAACCGTTTCGAGGCAACTATGATCTTTTAGACAAGAGGGCGACCTCTAAAACAACCTATACTCAATGACCGTGTACGAAGGCAACCAAGTGGGGTGTACCCTAAGAGTGCGCAAGTGCGAGTGTGTTGTTTTCAATTATTTTTATCTTTGCACATGTTTAGGGTGATCTAATTTGATTTTAAGATTAAACATTCAGTCTTGTCATGCAAGCCCTATTATCAAACATCTAGCAGTTATAATTAGCAGAATTTAAAGTACGGAAATTAAATTACAAGGCGTCGGGTATTTACATCGCCAAAAGCAACCCTTTGAAAATAAAATAAAGCGATAAAATAAATAAATATCCTAATTATTTATTACATACCGGAAGCAGATACATTAATTGGATAAAGAAAAATAAAGCGCGACGCGAAATTAAATCGAATGCGAATTAGGGTTTTGACCCTTTTTAAAAGAAAATGCCTTTTTTGTTGTTTTTTATTTTGAGAAAAGAAACTAAGTCCTAAATTAAATATTAAATTAATTATTTAATTAATTAAATAAAAAAAATATTAATGACATATTTTTGGAGTTTTTATTAATTTCATAAAGAAATAAAAATAATTAAATTATGTTAAAACCTAATTAATTGTAATTGATTTTATTTATTTACAAAAATAAATTAAAGTTTCCTAGAATTAAAAAAAACCTAATTAATTAGTTAGTGTTTATTAATAAAATAAAAAATTCTAAATTAAAGAATATTTTTTTTGTGATTTTGTGATAAAAAAGAAAATTAATCCATTGGTTAGAAGTTAATTAAAATAAAATAAAACAATTAAATTAAGTAAGTAAAATATAAAGAGAAGGAGAGAATGGGCCTTTTTGGCGGTGTAGAGAGTATTTTTATTGGCCCATTTGAAGCTGATCCGTTTGGAGTTTCCTGATTTGCTGCATATGCGTTGACCTAACTCTTTGGTGGACCTCCAACACTGACCACCAGATCTGGCCATCTGGCGCTTTGATTGGTGAGGGAGTATGGTAGATCTCAAGCCTAAGCGTGCACATGATTGCCTGCAAGAAAATAACATTGAGAAAATGGGGGACCTGGGATTCGAACCCAGGTCCTGAAGGGAAATACACACTATGCTTGCCACCACACCATGTTGTTTTAATTGTTAGTATAATAGGAATTAATAATAATATGAAAAAATAAAACTCAATGGTCAAAAAAGAAAAAAAATGCGCGTGTTTTTAAATGGTCCTATAGATGGATGAAAAATCATCATCCCTGTCCCTGAACCGTTGCCAAAAGTTCCAATGGCTATACCTACTGACAGAGGTCTGTCACTACAACCCATGTCCATTCCAAAATCTTGCATAGGCCATGAAAATGCATTCTAAGAACATGGTTGTGTTCGTCTCAACCTGCTGATCACGACTATAGCCATTATCATGGCCAATTTTTCCTGAAACAAAAACCCCCAAAAACAAGAACCAAACCCTAGCAATGGTGGATCTTCATAGAGGTCAGATAAATGCAATTGGTTATTGTGAAAAGCTTGCAAATGATGTGAGGGTTAAGAATATGTAGTTATTTCATGTTAACAATGCCTAAATCTGGAAATACGAAATCAAGAACAGGGCTACCTCGTGTGAGACTTACAGTGCGTATGGAAGCTTGAAAACGTCTGGTTGTGATTGGTTTTGCTTGTGGAGGTTGCCAGGAAGTGATTGTGATGCTTGCCAAGCCTTGAAAACGTCTCTAACCTTGATTTCTATCCCACACTTTTTTTTTGGTTTTTGCAACTTTGGTTCTGCCTCTACCAGTGATCTCTAACCCTGATTCTTGTGTGTTTCGCTTGCTTATGTATTGTACAATACATTAGGGTAGCATTTGTTGTTCAAATCTCCCTCTATCAATGATTTTGAGATTTGATTTTATTCTCCATTAAATCTTTCCAAATTTGATCCAAATCATATCTTCTTGTACACTTATGCCTTGATACGAGTTTGTAGATGAAACCTATAATCATCAAAAGATCTTTGGTTATCAATATTTTTGATTTTATGTGATTTTATTTGATTTAAAATGAATTAATTCAAATAAAAATCAAATTAAATAATAAAAATATAATATGAACACATGGCCAAGGCTAGAGCACGTGGGCAATAATGCAAACTCAAAACAACTGAAAAAGAATGGGTCCATTTGGCAAAATTTGATGTTTTGAGGATAGTTGACTTTTGGCAATTTTGCAAAAAAGTCCAAATTCAACAATGCATAACTTCCTCAATTTTGAACTTTTTGAGGTGTTATTTGACTTTTTAGAAAGCTTGAGATGTCCTCTAATCAACCCTTTTGGTCTAATATCATTTTGATATTCCATGCTCAAGTTATAAGCTTTGACAAAAAAGGTGTTTTTGTTGACTTTTCAAAATGACCTATAATGTCAAAATTCATAACTTCTTGTGAGTTCTTATTTTGATCTTGGGGTATGAATATGTATTGTAGGTAATTGCACCCTATTCAAAATGAGCTTTGGATGGGTCATTTATCATAAAGTATGAGAAGGTTAGGCTTGGTCAAAGTTGGGTTGACTTTTCCTGCAAAACCCTAATTTAGCAACTTTTGAATCTTGATGAATTTTGAGCAATCCTTGATGAATCATGATCAACCCTTGATAAAATGATGAAATATCCTTCAAAATGAGAATGTTGACAGAAAATCTTGAAGTTTGACAGTATTTGGTTCACAGTTGACTTTGGCCCTAGCATAGTCGATTTTTGGACCTTTGAGCAATTAAATGAGCAAAATTCCTCTGCAAGGCTTGAAACTTGACATGGATGATCTTGAGAACATATTAGGTCATTGGTGAGAACTTGGGGTCACTTGGACTCGAGGATCTTGATGCAACACAAAACCCTAATTTGGGGTAGACTGCCTTAGGAGAGACCTTGTCTGACCAACCCTTGAGCAACCTTGAGTAACTTGGAGATTTTTCTTGCATTGTTTTGAGAAATATGGGAGGGCAAATTTTAGGGTACAACAGCTGCCCCTGTTCAATCTTCTTAGACCTGAGGATGTAGATTGGCTTTCGTGCCTTTCGTGATCCGAAGGTGGAAGATGATTGAACACTAGAGTGCCCAAAAATTTACACTCGTATGAAGTGGTAATTGTCTTGTGATGTCGGGAATGGGCTTACAGATTCCATTTGGAGATTGTTGCCGGGAGGATGGGCTTAAAGATTCCATCTGAAGGAGTGTCGATCGCATAAGAGATTCCTTAGCGAGAGCTTGTATACCTGTTGTTTGAGGAAGATTCCGCTGGGGAAGTCTAATCTTTGTTGAGATTTAGGAACTTGTCTGTAATTCAACTGAGGTGTCGAGATTTAGGAACTTGCCCATAATTCAACTGAGGTGTTGAGATTTAGGAACTTTCCCGTAATTCAACTAAGGTGTCGAGATTTAGGAACTTGCCCGTAATTCAACTGAGGTGTTGAGATTTAGGAACTTGCCCGTAATTCAACTGAGGGGGGGGGGGGGGGGAAACATCTTCGTCGAGATTTAAGAACTCGCCCGTAATTCAAATGAGAAAACAT